CCGATCCAGCAACATTACCCGTGACATTTATCATTGTGCATTTACTAGAGTCTTCTTTGTTTTCGTCGTTTCACAACTCGCTCGCTCTTCTTGTTCCATCGCTGCTCAGCAGAGCCTCGGAACGCGTCGCCAGCTAGTTCCGAGCTCGACGGTGAGAACGGTGAATCGTCGGTTTCTCGTCGCGCGAACCGTCGCACGCAAATGTCTGAAAGACACTGCGAGAACGCCTGTCGTCCGATCGCTTCGTCTCGAGTTGACTGTCGGATAAAAAAAAGTTATTCGAAAGATAACTGCTTTTCTAATCTGTTTCGAAATTGTAGCGCGAGCTATAATGCGAACGAAGGGATAAAAACAACGCCGAAGAATTTCGGGGATCGTTTAGACACTCGTGTTCGATGTGTCTTGGATTTTCGCGTTGTTCGCGAAGCAAGAAAACGCGACCGAGCTTTCTCTCGCGCTCTGTGACATTCGTATAAATGTGTTGGAACGCTGTTACTGAATGACTTCGCGGAAAGACGACGTTTCAATTAGGATCATCACTCGTCGTTGCATTGCCGCTATTGAGCGACGATGCGATTATATTTGCTCAGGTATCAGTCGGTGACACGCGATAATGCAAATATCCGATTGTAGTAAGTTCGTGACATACGGTTCGTTTTTTTTTTTTTTTTTTTTTTTCTATATAACGCGATCGCGATGCAATATTCGTTACTTCTCCGCGATCGCGCATTGCTTTCAGTAGTGAGTCGGATTCGAATAACCCCGGGATTAACGGTCCATTATTGTCGGCATATATCGGCGATAGTCTGTCCGTCAGCAAATATCGATTCCCGCTGCAATCCGCTTCTCCAAGTCGTCGATCTCGCACCAAGGACAAGGTGAAGGGGGAAAAGCTCGGAAAAACGACCGTCGCTCACCGTCGAGCTTCTCACTAGCCAGACCAAGGTAAAGTAAACTCAACGAAGAATCTCGTCTATTCCTCCGTATGTATTTTTTATAATTAATCGATTACGACGTACCTTCTCGCGTTTCTTTCGTGGACAAGCGAATGGCACGAGAGTTTGCCCCGCGGGGTGTGGGCGGATTCGAAGTGAGTTCACTTCTGTCTTCTCCCCCTCGCGGGATGGTGCACGCGCCGTCCGGGGCGCCGCCGCTCACACCGATTCAAAAGAAAAAAAAAAAGAAAACAAAAACGCCACGTATCGCCAAACGGGTTGAAGATGTTCGATTTCGACCAGACTAAAACGATTGTGATACAATATTTAACTTGCCTATGTTTTAAAAGTTTCGCGGGAGAGAAAGGGAGAGAGAGATATGTTGTGCTTTCCTGAAGGGAGGCGCGCTTACACGACCACGAGAAGAATGCCTGTAAATATGTAAAGCCGTTCGCTCCAAACAAAAGAGGAAGAAGGAGAACGAAGAGGAGAACACGACGGAGAAAGGTGATGTATGCAAGTGCGTGCGAATGAGGCTGCGTGTGAATGAGATGCGAAAAAGTGTGATTGAACGAGAGAGTAGGAGAAAGAAGATAGAGATTCGGGGAAGAAAGAGGGGGTGGGGGGGGGCGAAAAAGAAAAAGATATGATGAGCGGAAAAGAGGAAGATACGAGAGATTATAGGTAGAATTTACGAGGACGACGTATCCTCCCACTGTGCTGAGCCATAGCTTTTCGGTAAATCGAGTCAAGAAACGACGACGATATACCGCGATAGCGCGAACTGGAAGAAGTGAGGGGGAGGGGGGGGGTTGCGACTCTTGTATACTATAGTAATATTTGAATGTATATTTATACGACAGGTTATATTATATTCTAACTATATGACGATATTTTGAATCGGTTTTAAAATCAGATTGGTGCTGATATAAAAAAATACTAGGTAAGCGAGTACGAAAAAAAAAATGAGGAGGGAACGTGGAAGAAGGCTGAGACACCGTAGAAGTTAGCGTTTAAGTAGCGTAGACGATAGTGTAGCTCAAGGTAAAGAAAAGACTTTGAAGGACCGCGCTCTCGTACGGGGTCCGCTCACATCTCGGAGAATTATCATCATTACTCTTAAAAGAAGAAAAAGAAAAAAAGAGGGAAAAGAAAACACTTCGTGGCAATACTTAAATGAAGAGCGAAAAAGATAGGGGACGGAGGAGGAAAACGTTTCAACGTATACTCTAGAGAATAATCTTTTAAAATTTCTATATTAAGACGTGTGATCTCTCTAATTATTGTACATTACATAATGAGTCTAAACTCTAGACGACGAGATGCGTTAGTATAATTACGATTACGTACGTATTAGGTGTTCTACAGTTAGTCTTTTGTCATTTAGAGACACACACAGAGATCTGAAGATGATAATTGTGCGGCCATATTCTCTGTGGCCTGTTCGTAGTGCCTCGGAATTGCTGCTCGCGGCAGTGATTTGACCGTATTTTAGGAAGGTATATTATATTATATTGAGGAACCGCAATTATCGATACTCTCTAATATACAATACTGGAAAAGGAAAAAAAGGAAAAGAGGGAATCGCGTCGTGAGGCGTCACGTTAATAAACGACTCATTAAATTATTATAATGAAAGAAAATCTACTTATATATCGCGAGAATGAAATGACGACGACGATATAATCGTGGTGGTTGTTCGCTGTTGTTTTTCTTTTTTTTTTGTTGTTCTTACTATTTTACTTTCTTTCATTCATTACGTAAAACGCGAAACTATGAGAAAAAAAAGATGGCGAGTGGGGAAGTATCGGGCGCCGGGAATGGCAGGGTCTCTTCCGGTGGCCGTTCGTAATATTTACGAGTATGATTATCGATGTGGAAATAATTTTCACGCATTTACCCACGTGCCCTTTTTAGGATATTTTTATCGTTCTTGCGGCGAAGAGAAAAAAGCGCAAGCAAACTCGCTCGTTACACATTAACGCTCTTTTATACTCGAAACATCGATTTCTGTATACCTTCGTACGTATATGTGTCCGCATGAGACCAAAAAAAATGTTGAAATACTCGTTATGTTAATAGAGACTTTCTGCAATAGCATTTCGGGGGGACATGGTAAACGCTAAAGCCTTGCCGGGCTCAGCGAACGATAATACGTGAGTCTAAAATGAAAATTAAAAGTTTCAGAGCAGGAATGAAGTAAATACATAATTTGTGAGATCCACTTTAAACGTGAAATCGTGTCTAAAGAGAGTCTTGCAAATTTATAGTCTGCTTTGCTCTCGCTCTGAGCCTTTTAATTAATGATGATTGAGTTTCGCACCAAACGTGCAACTTTAACGTTTATCGTATTCGACGTATTGTGAAAGGTGCTCAATATTCCGTAATATTGAAAATTACGTTTACGTGACATTGTTTGCTCGCAGCATCGAAAGACTGCAACTTTTCAACCTCAGCATATATTTTTCTAGGACTTCCAAGACTTTGACTTTTATTTTTACGGAAGTGTGATTTAAAATATGACAAAAAAATAATTTTGTTTTCTTTATTTTTTTTTTCTACTATAATAGTTTGTTTACTATGCACGCCGAGACTCAACTCGGGCGATAGTAATTCATTTTTGCTGTGAATACATCTGTCCTCATTTATATGTATCATTCTCTATCGCAGGCAGAATGTTTTTATCGATCGGATAAATGCCGATGTCCGCGGAGTATGTTTTTCACCTTTTATGAATAATATACTAGTGATTTATATTATCGCAAGAACAAATGAACACCTGGAGAAAAACTGAAACTGTCGCTGAGTGTAGTTGACACCATTTTTTTTCTTAGAAATTGTTACATTATTCATTAACTAGAAATTTGTCAACAAAATTAGAAATTGATATCTTTTCTTTTCACTGACAATGCTCAAAGAAATTTAGCCTCACTCAAAATAACATATGTTCTAGTGAAGCCATTTATTTGCAAAACATTCCGCAGCTGTAACGCATTTTTGTATTTTGATTTTTTCTTTAATTCTCGGGACACAATCAAAGTTTTGCTTCTTTTAAAATCTTTCACCGCACATATATTTTACTGGCAAAATTAATTATTTTATAGTCTACGAGGCGGAAAAAATTGAAATATTTCATTTAACTAACGAGTGCGCAGCACTTTACTAAATTTGCAATATAAAATTACAATTCCGACCACTAATTTATAACGTGCAGAAAATTAAACAGTTTTTCGACAAAAAGTTTTGTTCGAAATTAATCAGTTTTCTGCAATTTTTACAAATTAATGGCCGGCGCTGTGTGCGCATCTCGGTCTAATATATGTCAAATCTGAAGCGTTTAACGAAGATCTCGTACAATTCGATTGGTAAAACACGGGGGAACATTGCGCGCAAATTATGCGATAATGCTGAAAGGAGTAACGAAAAAGCGGAGAAACCGTAATAAAAGAAAAAAGAAGCACGTGACAACACCTCGGACTCGGTTCGGACTTACATGCACACGGCCGATTGTACTTTAAGAAAATCCGTGATAACGAAAGTAACCGATTACACAATATACACACACGCCAAGTTTAGAGAAAGGAAGTAGGAGGGAGACACGCGCATAAACATTTCTCGACGTGATCTTTCTCTCTAATGAGTCAAGACGTTATATACCGAAGCGAAGTTTTGGAATTGATTGCGATTGAGAATCGTATAAACCGAAGAATGGGAAGTGTGAAAAAGGGGATAATAACTGTTGTAGACAATGTGTAGATAAAAATAGATATTTGTTTTCTTTTTTATTATTATTATTATTATTATTATTATTATTATTATTATTATTATTATTATTATTACTACGATGTACTCAATACACCTGTATCATTATATTATATTATTATATTACTATTATTTATTATTATTAATATTATTGCTATTATATATATATATATATATATATACATAATAATTA